ATGCACCAAGAGCTTGTAACACTCCAAAGAGAAAGGAAAAATTGAAATCGCATCATATGACCCCTTTAAATTTATGACTGTTTCTTCTACTGTTCCAGTATGTCCTCAGGTGAGATGAAGGATAGTAAGCACTGTCACGATAACAGCCGTGCCCTGGAGGACCGAGAGCGTGAAAAAAAGCTTGCCAAGAAACGCCTATACATTGTTTCAGTAGTGTGTCTGGTCTTCATGGTGGGCGAGATCTTAGGTGTGTGACCCATACTTCTGATTGGCTGCAAATTGGCTGCCATACTTGTTTTTGCACACACAAAGGATTGCTGGTGAATATGCGCTGCTGTCTGGTCTGTGTACAGGTGGGTATTTTGCTGGGAGTCTGGCAGTGATGACAGATGCCGCACACCTGCTCGTGGACCTCACCAGCTTCATCATCAGTTTGTGCTCGTTGTGGCTGTCGTCCAGACCTGCTACACACACTCTCAATTATGGCTGGCATCGATCAGGTGACTGGACTTGTAGAACAGTAAATTGTTGTCATGTGGCTCAAAACTCCTGGATGGATTTTTAAATAGTACTATTTTTAAAACAGTACACTATATATACAAAAATAAATACAACTACCATTCAAAAGTTTGGGATTAGTAATTTATTTATTTAATACATTAAATTGATCAAAAGTGACAGTAAAGACATTTAATATGTTAAAAATATTTCTGTTTCAAATAAATTGCTCTTTTGAACTTTTTTTCATTAAAGAATCCTGACCAAATAATTTTTCCACAAAAAATATTATGCATGACAACCATTTTTAATATTGCTAGTAATATGAAATGCTACTTAAGCACCAAAACAGCATAGAATAATTCCTGAAGGATCTTGTGACACTGAAGATTGGAGTAATGGCTGCTGAAAATTCAGCTTTGCCATCACAAGAATACATTACTTTTTAATATGACAGTTCAATATAGTTATTTTAAATTTTAATAATATTACACAGATTTTTTTCTGTATTTTTTATCAAATAAATGCAGCCTTGGTGAGCATAAGAGACCTCTTTCAAAAGTATTTAAAAATCTTACCCCAAATATTTAAACAGTAGTGTATTCATAGTACTTCTTATATATTCTTGATGTATGCTAGTGAACTATACGAAGTACAATTGTAATTTCATCTACTTAAATACTACTGGGTATTTTCAGAAATCTTGGGTGCTCTGCTATCTGTCTTCACCATTTGGCTGGTGACTGGTGTGCTGGTGTATCTGGCAGTGGAACGGCTCATTCATGATGACTTCACTATTGAGGGCACAGTCATGCTCATTACTTCTGGCTGTGCTGTACTGGCCAACATTATGTAAGGCAAAAACCTCACTGAGCAATGCAGTTTTATTTCGGAATATATCGGCACACTATTAATAGCCCTAATCTAATAATTAACTAATCTATGGCATTTTAACAAAATCGTTATTTGCTGTGAAAGCTGACCTTCTGTCTGTCCTTCTCTGTGCAGAATGGCCTTCACTCTGCATCAGTCAGGTCATGGCCATAGTCACGGTGGTCTGAGCGGTGGCCACAGCCACAGTCACGACCATAGGAATAAAAACGGCCACAGCAATTCTAACGCTAATCATTATGATGTCGAGGAGCATGGGTCTGGTAAAAGACAACAAGCTAATGCTAGCGTCAGGGCAGCATTTGTCCATGTTATTGGAGACCTTCTACAGAGTGTCAGTGTGCTTGTCAGTGCTCTCGTCATCTTTTTTAAGGTAAGAGATTATTAGCCATTTAAATTCTTAGGTCTGATGAGTCGTAACTGATGAACCAGCAGTATTTAATATAAAAGTAACATTGGCTTAACCAGTAGCTGTTTGTTATGAGGGAATACTAGTGTTGTCTTAATGCATTTTAATGTAATAGTGTGGCAGATAATGATAAGTATAGATCCACTTTTGATGGCATAATACTAATGAAAAACTGATTTCTTTTCTTTTTATAGCCCGAATATAAAATTGCAGATCCCATCTGCACCTTCCTGTTTTCTCTGTTTGTCCTGGGAACCACACTCACCATCATGAGGGACATTATTATTGTTTTAATGGAAGGTACAAATGTCTTGTGTTTTTTGCTGTTTCAGTTATGCTTCAGAAATCATAGAGCTGTAATTTAGGTAAAGAGTGGTGACTTTAAAAAAGCTTATAAATATGTTTACGTCACAAGTTTACAGACAAAGTATGTCTATTTTAGTTCTTCCAATGAAAATAGTCCCATAAGAAGCTAAAAGAGAATCTGTTATGTCTGTGAATCTGCAATAGTGGTGTTCCTGAATGAATCAGTGTTTTTGAGGGAATCAGTTACGTGAATGACTGAATCACTCATAATGATGTCACTGATTTTGTTCCTGGTTGAGTGAATGATTCAGTGACTCACATATTATGACCGTCACTGGTTTTGTTTCTGAATGAATCAGTGTTTTTGAACGAATCATTTGAACAAATGGTTGATTAATCAATTGTCTCTTCTCACCACCTCCAGGTTATGTATGATTTAACCTTTAAGAAAGAGACACTCATCTTCATTGCTAATAGGAACATGCAAACACGGACAAACTGAGCGATTAAAACAGTGAAACATCATCAATCAAATTCTAGGACCTGAATTAACTGCTGTAAAAGATAGTTTTGATTAATTTAATTTGTAAATTTCGGGTCACCACAAAATTGTCATACTTCCATCGTGCAATTTCAGTTTTGATGAGTTAACTATTATTCTTAATTTAGAATGTAGAAATAATGATGAATAAGTAGGTCTGTCAAAACTTGTGACTGGCAAATTAATTGAAGGCAAATCTTAAATATACTGTAAGTATCTATAAATAAATACAAGCTGTTTAATTGGCCACTAGGCATTCTATGGAAGGTTGTTTCATTTTTCATCTTATCCTCATTAAAACATTTCTTGGAACATGAAGATTTTAATTAGGAACTCCTCAGCCTCAGTGTTTCTCCTCCACAGGTACGCCGGCTGGTGTGAACTATAATGAGGTGAGGGAACAACTGCTCAGAGTAAAGGGTGTCAAAGCTGTGCACAACCTTCACATCTGGGCCTTGACAATGAACCAGGCTGTGCTCTCTGCTCATGTGGCTATAGGTAACACTTTTAACTCCATATGGAATCTTTTGGCATTTATCTGCATAACCTAAAGCAAAAACATATATCTGAAATATTCACCCTAGCCGTGAGTTTATAACCGTCTGTTCATTTTTAACTCTTTAGATGATACCGTAGAGCCACAGGCGGTGTTGAGAGAAATGACCCAGACCTGTTTCACCTCATACAGTTTCCATTCAGTAACCATTCAACTGGAGCATCAGGCGGACCAAAGGGCTGACTGTAGCCTCTGTCAAGACCCCACAAAGTGAAACACCCAGAGACTTTTATATTAAAGAATGACCCTGGTCCAAAGGGACAAAAGATAATAATTTCATAAGTTTTATTTTCAAAATCAGGTCTTTTTGGATTTCAGACACCTCTGTTCTTGTGTGTTTTTTCACTAATTTGGATTTAAAGGGATGGTTACCCAAAAATGAAAATTTTCTAACCTGTATGATTGCTCTTATTTTTTTTAATTTATTCATGAAAGTTGTTCGGAGCCCATTGTTCTTCTTTTGTGTTCTGTAAAAGAAAGTAAGTCATACAGGTTTGGAACGGCATGAAGGTGAGTTTAAATACCTGAATTTTTATTTTGGGTGAACTATCCCTTTAAGAAGAATTTGTTGTGAATAGATCTGTCAGGAAAATAACTTGTTGAAATGTGCCAAATCTAATTAACTGAGCCAGGTAAGAAGGTACTTTAGCAATGAAAATAAATTTGAATAGTCATGCAATAACATTATTTGTTCAGTCGATTTACTTTTTTTCATTCATGTTTATTTTTTGTCATCAGCAAACAGGACTACTGTGCTGGTGTAATGTACTGTACACTTTGAACCATCCCTTATTTAAAAGGATAATTACCACAAATCAAAAGTACGTTCATCTTATTGTTGATCTTAGGTTTGTTTGTTTGTTTCTTTTCATTCTTTTTCGTTCTTATTTCTGTAACGCTGAGAGATCTTTTCATTTCTTTTATTACTACAGGACTGATCAGTAATTTTGTCCCATTTCCAATATTATGTTTTACACTCCTAGAGCAAAGACTGAATATTCATATTATGGTAACACTTTACAATAAGATTCCATTAGTTACAAGAGTTACTAACAATAAGCAGTGCAGTTACAGTGTTCATTAATATTTGTTAGTTGTTAAAAAACACAACTGATCATTGTAAGCTCATATTAGCTCGGGTCTATTAAATAGTAGGCTATTAACGGATAAAACCTTTGATTTGAATAATGTATTAGGAAACGTTGAAGTTAGCATTAAATTATTTTTATTGTTTATGTTAACTAATGTAGTTATCTAAAAGGGAATTTATTGTAAAGTTTTACCCATATTCCTATATTCAGTAAAAAATATATTGAAAAGTGAATATTAAAATTGAAAAGTATGTTTGTATTTGTTGGTAGTGTACAGTTTGGTGTATTTGCCTTACAGAAGCATCTTTGGTATGTTTTTATCACTCATAATTAAACTGATGAATGTACAACGTTACAACTTTGTCCACTTTCAAAAAACTTTTGTGTTTTTTGTCACTTACCTGGTGATCTTCGTTTATACTCTTAAATTGATGGATGAGATATTTCATGTTTAAGGATCTTCCAAACAAACTCTCTTATTCTTCCATCAGATACTTTTACATATAATAAACAGAGAATTTAAATCAAATCTAGAACAGGGTTCTACACAAATGTTGTTTTCCATCTCGTAATTCCCTTGTTGGATGTATTATTCAAAGGAATGCCCATCAAAAGAACAAGCAGCTTAATTTGCGCCATTGCTATCTCTCACTCTCTTGTTTTCATTCTCTTTTAAGTGAAATACTGTATCTCATTGTACCTCCTGCTCATCCATGGTCTAATCCTCTTATAGTCCACTGGATGAGGATAGAAAATCAAGTCAAGCTAATAATCAAAATATACAGAGAAAAGCCCTTTTGAAGTGGGAGTCCCTGTGTGGCTTTACACACTGTGAATAAGAAGAGTAATCAGCAAACTGTTGTGTGTAAGTGCATATTCTCTAGTGAGAGGAACAAGATCACTCCGGTTTACAATGAAAGACCTACGTCTCTGAAAGCCACACAGACCCCAAATTACCTCAATTATATGGAATCATCTTCTTTGATATTGAAAAAGGATATGTAGGATTATTAGGCATATAAATAGACATAAGCAAAAGAGCACGTCTACAAAACAGACTTGAACTCAAGTGAAATCGTTGTTATTGATCACAGGGAGTCTGAAGTTGTGATTGATTCGTTTTCAGTTGTTGTTTAAAACCACACAAATTGATTCAGTATGAAGATCTATCTTTGTTTTTCTGTCATGAACCAATGATTTGAGATCATTATGCAACTTTAATCTTTTAATTTCCAATGATGCATTGACAGTTTCTTCAGATGCAAACAGACACATACAGCTTCACAGTTTTATTTAATCCAAATCATATTACAGGACTGTAGGTAGCAGATGACCATTTTTAAGAAGCACTAGGATTTTTAAATGTGGCATACATAATAAAATAAAACATAAAAAATGCAAAACTATATGTAAAATATTAGTGAACGCTAGATGGCGCACTGCACCTTCAGCTAAAAAGCGTACTCGCATTTCCACTATACATTTAGTAACAATATATCCCATATTAGCCTGTAGAATATAGATATTTGTATTGAAAACAAAATTCAAGTACAATATTTGTTTAAACAAACATACTGTTTCCATCAAAAATTGTTCTTTGCTAAGCACTGAGCCACACACTTTACATATGTGAGACGCGGTGACTTCTCGTGAAATCTCGCGAGGGCTGACTCGGACGAGAACACAGCACGGAAAACATGACGTCTTGTCAACAGCACTAACAAGGTATTTAAACGCTGTTAATGTTTGCATATATTTAGACGAAAAACATTTTCTGTGTTTCTGTTACATACATGTTATGGCTGATAGTTGCTGTTTGTCCAGTTTCGTTAGACATTCAAGCTTTGATAATAGTAGCTCAATGTAGAGCTAAATAATAGATTTTGTTGTATCTAAATGTTTATTCTGTTACGACTATATTATTATGTGTTGTCACTTGCTTTTGTATGTTATTGTTTTTTATGTATTGTTTATAATTTGACTATATAATGCTAAAATGTGATGTTTGGTTTGTTATGTTTATATGTTTTAGGTGTATGGTTCAGTTTACATTCCAATACTCTCTCTCTCGCTCTCTCATACAGTCATGAACATATATTGTTAACAGACATGCCATAGGGTCCTACCAAATAGCCACCCACATCCCACCGTCCCCATGACAACCCCTCCTCTGGCCCAGTTCCCCGGGCAACAGGCTCAGGCAGCTCGGGATGTGAACACAGCCTCGCTCTGTCGGATCGGACAGGAGACGGTGCAGGACATCGTCTTACGAACCATGGAGATCTTTCAGCTGCTGAGAAACATGCAGGTAAGTTCATCCCCTCAAAAGCATCCATCCACAGATGAAAACGTACTCTGCTGACTCTCTTTCTCCCTGTCTTCTCACTCAGCTGCCGAATGGAGTCACCTATCATCCTAACACTCATCAGGACCGGTTGGGGAAACTGCAGGAGCACTTGCGGATGCTCTCCGTTCTTTTCCGCAAGCTCCGTCTCGTCTATGACAAATGCAATGAAAATTGTGCTGGCCTGGACCCCATCCCTCCTGAGGTGAGATTATGCTTTCTCTATCACAGTCCAGTCTAGTTTAAACGAAACAGACTTACATTTCACTTTTTTCATGATATTAAGTAATTCGGTTCTGAATATGGAACCTATTTTTTTAATTTTTAACAACTAAAAATCAAGATATTTACTTTACTCAAGCTGGTGTGTTGAGTTGTATAAGCCAGTCATTCATGCAGTCTCTTTTCTTTGATCAAAGAGAGCAGTGAAATAAAGTCATTTAGATCTGCAGTTATTTTATTTATTATGTTTATATTTATGTATATATTTCTTTTTGTTTCCATTGAAGAACCAGGTAGTACCAATATATCCCATGTAAGCTCACAGAATGCAGTTATTTATATTGAAAACAAAATTCAAGTACAATATTTGTTTAAACAAGCCTACTGTTTCCACCTAAAAACTTTCTTTGCTAAGCACTGAGCCACACACTTTGCATATGTGGTACACGGGGACTTCTCGTGAAATCTCACAAATCTCGCAAAATCTCGCACCCCCTCGATAACTTATTTTTTTCTTTGAAGAACCAGGTTTACCATTGTCTTGAAAAACCTGGATATATGTCGTGGCTTCATTTTAAAAGTCATTCCTAGACCCGGTCATATAAATAAAATCATAAAACTACATGAGCATTAAATATATATATTTTTTTGTTAAAAATAATGTATATTAAGTAGAAAATGTGTGTAAAAATATTTCTAAAAATCCTTGTCTTTATTTCTTAACAAGTAAATCACAAACAACTGGAAAAGTCATCATGGGGCCTTTTGAATATTGTTTTGGACAATGGGGGGTCTTTGAATCAAAAAGGTTGATAAACACTGGCCTATATAGAATAATACAGCCTTTTCTAGGCCACTGACATGATTGAAGAGTCTCGTATGTGTGTGCATCTTTTTAAACAAATTTCTCAAAAGTATTTAGCCTAATTATATTACAAGGGGTTGATAACTTAAAAGTGTAGTTTGAGTGAATATTTAAGAGTGTGTTCATTTGATCTCGTACTTGAGGGAATTCTGTCCATCCATAACATATACTCGCCTGTGAATGTTTTAATTACTGCACCTTGTGAGTGCTAGCTTTCAATTTCCAGCAGAGGAAAGATCCTTGAATCACATTGTCAGCTTGGCTTCCTATTAGCATTGAAGTGATCTAGTGATTGAGTCCAACTGAGATTCCCACTGACTCAGTTTGGTCACCCTAAGAGCTCATTGACGTAATGTCTGGACTTGCAAAGTACAAGCTCTACAAGAGCTTGAATGTTTTTTCAGATCTTCTGAAGCACTGCTGTTATGACTTCTGGAATAAAATATCATGTTCAAATCGAGAAGAAAGGATATATATGCTCTAATTTTGCCTTGAGTCATGAGTCACAGGCACATATGAAACATGAAGTGTTGCTGTGATTTAGACATAATTTGGCCCTCAGGAATTAAGACTCAAATGTGTATGAGAGCAAATTAAGCCCTTTAGAGTTGGATCGAATGCACAGCTGGTCTGTTGAGTCATTTAAGCATCATTCGTGCAATCTTTTTTCTTTTATTGAAAAGAGCGGTGGAATAAAGTCATTAGATCTGCAGTTGCTTTAACTGGAGGGTATGAACAACAGCCTTGAGAGTTGGAAATTCAGGTTCTTTCTTCTCATTAACAGAAGTGCTCCTGTGCTAACAGGATATTTATTATGGCTCAGCCTCGTCTTTTTGGATTTCAGGTGTTCTCTTTAGCTCCTGTTGCGCTTTCTCCCCAAACAGGAAGTGCTATAATGGAGCCAGTGGCATTACCTCATCACCTTGCTAATTAGCTGCGGCGCTCTGTAATGAACAGCTGGCGAAGTCCCTCATGTCAGCATTTTCCAACCCAGGCAATCACCGGCTCCCAACGGTGGAATTTCCTGCACAACGCAAACGAAATAGCCATGTCATTTCATTTACCACCTCACTTTTTCCATCCACTTCAATGTAATCAACCCGAGTGAACCTCACTGAATCATTGTTTTCAGGCAGCTGGCAGAGCACATCCATCTTTTAGTGTCTGGACCTTGAGTAATGTGTTGTCCGCGTTATATTAACTAGCTGGCTCTTTCTTGCTCCACTTGTTGCCGACAGGTGGGTACTTCCTTTGAAACTCAATGTGAGTTTGGTTCAGAAATTGTATTGGTTCTTGTTCTTTTCTAAAATTCTTCGGACCTAAAGTGTGCAAAGCTAATTAAATCAGTCCTCGAGCTACGGCTTGTGTCTTTTCTCTCTCTGCTGGGCCGGTCACCCGCCTGTGGTTTGATGCATTCACTTCCTTGACGAACCTGCCAGGGGCTTTTCTCTCTCCCTCCTTTGCATTTCATATGATCAGATTTTTCCTTCTTGCTTTTCTGCTGGCATGTGACAGCCTAAAGCTTGTAAGGTCTGTTCTGTAAACCGCAGACCCATGAAATATGAGTGATTCAGAATGTGGGACTTGATTTTCCTGTTGCTGCTGAAATTATAGATCATTTAAGCTGTTCATTGGTTACCTTTGCACTGCTGTTTTTGTGTTAAAGTTTGACGAAAAGAAATAAAAAGGGAAAAGGGCAGACTTACACTACTGTTCAAAAGTTTGGGATCAGTTATATATTTTTTTAAAGAAATGAATACTTCTCAGCAAAGAGGTGTTAAATTGGTCAAGTGACAGTAAAGTGACAGTTTTATATTGTTACAAAGGATTTTTTTTTTTTTTAAGAATTTTGAGGAAAAAATGTATCAGGCTTTCCATAAAAATATTATGCTGCATTAATAATAATAATAATAATAATAATAATAATAATAATAATAATTAATAATTATTATATATAATAATAATATTGAGCACCAAATCAGTAATGGAGTAATGGCTGCTGAAAATTCAGCTTTGCCATCATAGGAATAAAATACATTTTAAAATATGTTTGAAGGATCTAAGGATTTTTTGTAGCAACCTGTATGTGTTGCTTCAAGAGAGCAACCATACATTTGTGTATGAAATAATTATTTTATATCATAATAATATTTCACAGTATTACAGCTTTACTGTATTTTTTATCAAATAAATGCAGCCTTGGTAAGCATAAGAGACTTTCAAAAACATTGAAAAATCTTACAGACCCCAAACTTATTGGTAGTGTAGATCTTTAGATTTATAAAATATATTAACTTGTAATGGGGTTGTTGATGCGTTACATGTTTTATCAAGGTTTTGAAATGTATATTAATAAGGGAATTTGTATATTTTAGGTAATAACTACATTTTTAATTTTACCTTTGACCTTTTAACCTCCACTAATTCTGTTTAAATGGTCTTAAAAGTCCAAACGTTCCTCAGTATATTCCTCATAAGCCTCATAATATGAGCTGCATGCATAATAAATGAATTGGTAAAATGATATAAAATAGTTTGAAAAGAAGTATAGCATGTCACCGCAGGACATATCAACAAGTATTTCATGTCAATATCAACTTCCTAAAAGTATTTCTTGTCAGCTATTCATGTGCTATTTCCCTCCAGTTTATTTTCATTGTAATGATGTTGTCACACTAATAACTCATTAATAGTCAGTTACACAATAACAATAAAAGTCTTGAAAAAAGTTTTTCCAGTCGTTTCCAATTGAAGTTTGCACGATAGGACTGGGTGTTATATTACTTAAGTAGTTCTTGAACTCAAAGTTCTCGGATGTTTACAGAATTAAAGAATATACTAGAGTATCTGAACTTTATTAATAATAATAATAACAACATTTAAATGCAGCTATTTTTGAATGAGAGAGTTAGAATTTGTTTTTATGCCCGTTATGAGAAAACCACTGTCTATGCAGAAATGAGGGCATTTTTCTTCACTTGCATGCACTGATTGCTCATCCAGAACACCAGCAGGTGTCACTGTGATGTTAAAGCGAGGAGATCATGATCTGGTGCCAGCAGAGCTGTGAGACCACTGTCTGTTTGGCAAGGTCACAGAATGATAGAACCTCACGAAAAGAATGAGACACTTTAACAGAAAGCACATGTGGATAGAACTTAAACCATTGTTCTGCTGTAAATTGAGGGTCTGCTTTTACTGTAACCCTGTCCAAGGCTGTTGAGAGGGCTCAGACAATTTGTGAAGTTGAATTTGAAAGCCAAAGGCCAGTGCCTGTTGAGTGATTTATTTAGGCAAAATAACAGATGGCTGTTATGTTACAAAATTTAAAACCTAAGACCCAAGATCTGATTTCTCTGTTTAAGGCTTTTGAATTATGCAATAATCCATTACTGGGGCTTCACCAGGTTGTTTAACTTTACAATCTCATATCTTAAGCTCTTGTGTTGTTTAGACAATAGATCACCACAGTAAATGTTTGCATGAAATTGTATTCAAACCATGGTAGTTTTTGTGCTCGGATACTTTTTGTGATTATTTTTTCAGGCTTTCACATGTAGCTTTGGATAATGGCCCAGCTTAACCCTAGTTCAGGGCGCTCATTTTTAAACTGCCTAGAGATAAACCAACTATCAAAATTGATGTTTCTGTTCACAAATACACACATTGTGGCTTTTTTTTTTTTTTTGGTTTGTTTTTTTGATCTGTGTGTGTCCTGATTGATCATGTGATCTCTTTAATTATCATGTGATTCCTCAAATTAAGATGGCTTCTAGTTCTAACACTGTTAGCTTGGCATTGAAAATGGTCAACATGTGACCGAAACGTTTGCCTTGATTCTTTCAGTAAATTGCTTATATTGTTCTCATCTCGCTTGTGATGCTTTGATGTTTGAGTGTACAGACTTTTTTCAAGCTCTTCACCTTTGGGAAACCTTTTTTGGTCTACGCACCTCAGTTGGATTTTTTTGAAGGCGCGGTGAGTCTCTGGCTGCTTCTCTGTTCACAAATACCACCGTATCTTTTTCCATTCATTTTTAATCCAAGATGTCAGGAAGGCATCAGATTAATTGTGGCAAGTAAATAATCAAATAAATACCTGAGTCTTGTGTAGTGACCCTGATTTATACAGGTGAAATTTGAAAGGTACCTCATTCATTTACAGTTGAGCATTAAAAATAAATAAATCATTGCTGTACCTTTGTAGCCATGGTTTGTGGTAGCTCAGTGATTGAATATCTATGTTTGTAATCTGAAGGTTTGCAAGTTTAAACCCCACAAGCGGGGCAATTCATGTACTGTCATCATTGTGCCCTTGAGCAGGGCACTTAACCCGAGGTTTTTCCAGTGAGACTGGCCTTGTAATAATAGGATTGCAAGACTCTTTGGATAGAAAAAGTGATTAAAAAAAATTATTAACTGATTCAGAATTTGTTAGAAGATGATAAGGAATTTTATTTTTCTTTAATTTTTTTTTTGTATGCAGTTTTGTGTATTTTTAGTTCCCTACGGTTAAATGAGTGGAATTTTTGACTTAAATGCACTCACCGGCCACTTTATAATTATTAGGTACACCTTGCTAGTACCAGGTTGGACCCCCTTTTGTCTTCAGAACTCTCATCAGACCAGGCAAGCTTTTATCCAATCTTTTTCTGTTGTCCAATTTTGGTGAGCCTCAGTTTCCTGTTCTTAGCTGACTGGAGTGACACCCAGTGTGGTCTTCTGCCACTTTAGCCCATCTGCTTCAAGGTTCGACGTGCATTCAGAGATGATCTTCTGTAAACCTTGGTTGTAATGAGTGGCTATTTGAGTTACTGTTGACTTTCTATGAACTCGAACCAGTCTGGCCATTCTCCACTCCTCTAAGTTGCTGGCATGCGATTGGCTGATTAGATATTTGAGTGAACGAGCAGTTGAACAGGTGTACCTAATAACGTGGACGGTGAGTGTATATCACTGTGTTACAGTGGATAGCTATACATGTGAATTTGTGGCTGCCGTAAAGCAGTCCACCCCTTTTTGCAGAATTTCATATCTGCTCACCAAACTTACATAATCTCAGAACAGACGTTTGGGGAGGAGTGTGAGAAAGAAACCGAAGCCATTCTCCTTATTAGAAATCAGTGTACCATCAGAAACTGATATTTCAAGGTAAAAAAAAAGTGCAGTTGCTTTAAATGTGCCGTAGGAGATTATAACTTATGCCACTGAATCAAACTATTCCATCTCTTCAGTCACTACCTTTCTAATTGGCTAAGTTTTTTGATTTGCAAAAAGGGTGGGCAAAAAACCTGGCTCTTTTTTTATTGTTGTTCACAGAATAGGGTCAGGGTTTTGGCTGGATAGCCTGCTGGTAGATGCCCGTGACTACACCATTTTGACCAAAAAGCATCTTTCACTATTGACTGCTTTTTTAAAATATCTGTGCATTTAATGACAATTAACAAACATCATTTAGTAGATGTTTAACCAGAGCCTGATTGTTTTTTGAAGTGTGAAATAGGCTTTATATTTTCCCTGGCTGCTGCTTTTGACGTCACACCTCAGGATAGTTGCTAGTGAAGGGATTGGAACTGAGCGTGTTCCTGTGGTGCCATCAGTGGCAAACACAAAAATGAGTGTATAACAGTGAAGTAATCAAAAAGTCACTATGTGGTAATTTCATTCTGTCTTTCTTTTTCAGCAACTTATCCCGTATGTAGAGGATGAGAGTTCTAAACTGGATGACCGAATGGCCAATCAAATGCGTGCAACCAGCGATGAGAGAAGAGAAGTACTGGAAGTAAATAAGGTTAGAACCTTATTTTTTGGACATTTTATATTTGACAGATGCCTTTATCCAAAGCAACTTAACGTTGTGTTTAAGGTATACATTTATGAGGACATGCATTCTCTGTGAATCAGACCCCATTGACACAGGAACACTCCTACATCAAATGTTAAAATAATACATTTTAAACAAAATACAAAATTATTGGCAGTATATATACATTGCAACTACACATATAACTACATATACACATTAATACTTGTATTCAGCAAGGATGCATCAAGTTGATCAAAAGTGACAGTAAAGACTTTTACATTATTACAAAACATTCTTTCAAATAAATGTTGTTCTGCTGAACTTTCTATTCATCGAAGAATCCTGAAAAAACGTATGACAGTTTCCACAAAAATGTTAAGTAGTGCAACTGTTTCCAGCATTGATAATAATAACAATGATTGAATTATTGAATAATAAAATTATTGAAAACCAAATCAGCATATTAGAATGATTTCTGAAGTATCTTGTGACTTTAAAGACTGGAGTAATGGCTGAATCCTGAAAATTCAGCTTTGCCATCACAGGAATAAATTATATTTAAAAATATATTCAAATAGGAAACAGTTATATAATATTATTATAACATTTCACAATGTCACTGTTTTTACTGTATTTTTGATTAAATAAATGCAAATAAATGCATCCTGAGAGATTTCTTTCAAAAACATTAAAACAATTTTACCGACCCTTAACTGTAGTGTACTGCACAGTATATAAACTCAAAACAGGCCACTTCACTGCCTGCAGAGATCTGTTTACAGTGTCAAGCAATGAGATGTCTGCCATATTCACTTGCATAATGAAGCCATAGTAAAAAAAACAACTGATGACTCTCTACCAAGAATTTCATGACTTTCTTGCAGTAAAAGCAAAATGATCTGATTTTTTTCTGAGCTCCTCTCTGCCATTGAGTCTGCCTTATTTAAAAACTGCAGCATGCTCATGAAAGGCAGTTGGTGTGGAAATGCTAATGCGACAAGGGCCCTGGAGCTTTTTGCCGGCCAAATAGCTGGCTGCAAATAACACGCTGGATGAGGTGACCATGTTGGGGGAATGAAGGATGTCAGACTCAGGGGAGGTCAAGGTTGCGTCAGAATGTGGAGAGCAGATGTGTTACAGCTCTCCGTCATCTGCCTGTGCATCATTTGTGTGTTCAAGGATCTCTGATGTTGACTAGTAGTCACATGACATGCAAGTATCAATGCCTGGATCAATGGATGAATTGATGGTCATCTTAATCTTAATCTTAATCTTAATCTTAATCTTAATCTTAATCTATCTATAAAAATGTTATGCATATGCACAGGATCTATAAAGATGAGGTATGAAGGATGATGGAAGGACAGATAGACGGATGAATGCAGAGAATGTTATAGTAATGAATGGAGTCATGGATGAACCGGAAGATAGACATCAGCTTGAACGAACAAATGGATGTATGCATGAAAGTAATGAGGCCATGCATGATTGAAAATTAGCACTCAGGTCAGTTTGTTGAAACATAATGGAGACCGTCTGTCTGACTCATCCCATTGTAGGCTAGGTTGTGCATTTTAATAGAGTCATGCCATTGTCCTGTTGATTAAGTGCCGTCGTTTTCTGTGCCAATGGAGCTCAGGCTTGATTTAGTGAATCTTTCATCACTGTTGGAGCTCCAACGAAGTGGTGGAGAGATGTATAGCACGAGTATGGTAATGCCCCGCTGCTTTATGGGATGTCCCGTCACTGAATGATCACCCTGCTCTCGTTATCTGTCGACTGGGGTAATTGGTGTTTGTCAGGGCCTCAGCTGAATACTGGTCCTGCAATCTAGAGCGGCCTTCATCACAATGACCGATCTGTCTTCACACATCTTGTATGTGTTCTGCAGAGTTTTATTGTACCTTTCATTAGTGGCGTAACAGAACAGTTTTGGCTTTTTTTTCCTAACTCCAACATCTCTGAGGTGTAATTGTATTTTAGTCGCACAGAAATTTTGGTGCAATTTAGAGTGGAAAGAGAGTGCAAGAAAAGCCATCAATGTAAACAAATGCAGGTCCGAAATATTCATCATCTGACTCAAGAGGATAATTTACTTCAAGCTTGTCATCCCTCCCCTCTTCTTGACTCTCTAACTGCTTTGGTGTGAGAGTCCCTGGGGCCCCTTAGGGCCCCACAGACGTGTGAGGCCATCCGAAGGTCCACTGTAGTCGAGGCACTGTCAACTCATCCGGGCAGGCGCTTTGATTGAACACTGCTCCAACTGTTAATAAATTCCTGTCACAGTCCATTAAAAAGGCCTTGGAGAGATGGCTGCTCTCATTTATTCTCCACCACTCTCCTATTTTTTCTCCCTCACTTTTGCACTCTATCTTCCTCACTTGTCCCCCTTTTCAATGTTTTTTTTAATACCCTCTTAATTACCCCGTCTGTCCTCTTTATTCAAATGAGAAAGTGAGAAATGTGAGAGGAGAATGTTTGTAATTTCAAATAGGCCTCTCAGAAGGCAGATACCGTGAGCGTAATCAACAACGGCAGAGGCTGCGGCGGTGGTGGCGGCACGGGCGTTTACCGTTATCTCTGGAGCAGGGCTGGGGCTGAGGGGCCGTGGTGGAGCTGTGCTCTGATAAACAAACTCGTCGGAATCATAATGAGGCGGTTCAGAGAAGACAGTCCTCCCCGTACACACACACACACACACATGCTCGCAGGAGGCACTCAATTCTCCACATGATTAGTCAGTTCATATGTCATCCATTAGAACAGGTTTACCGGCTAGAGGCCCTTTAATTGGTGCACATGGGGTCAGGATGCCCAGCATACTTGGGGCATGGAAAAAAGGGACACGCCGAAAATAGAAAACAGTTTGCAGTGCTTCTTTGTGCTTCAGGTTAAGCAATTGCTGTTTGTTTTCCTATTATTACTTTGTACTAGTATACGAATAATTTGTTGTTTTTTTTTCCCATGCAATGGTTGTTAATGTAACATTTAAACAACAAATTAAAGCCAGTCGAGGTCTGGAAGGTCTAACAGTCTAATGTTGGTTTAAACCCAAACAACAGAAAAAGGAAAAGAGGATTATGGAGCTTCTTAAAGAGACAGTTCACTCAAAAAGGAACATTTTGACATCCTTAACTCACCCTCATTTTGTCTTCAAGATGTCTTCTGAAGCCATACGATAGCTTTGTGTGAAAAACATGCCCATATTTATTTAGAAATTTGGAGCTCATTCTCAGTTACTAAAATATCTTTGCATTGTCATTGATCGGATTATACAGATTAACCCTCCATAAATCAGTGCTCAAATATGAACTGACACTGCTCTGATTTGTCTTGTATTTGTACTTTTCTTGGCCTACTACCCATGAGGGAATGTGATTCAGTTTCAAAACGAACCCTTTTTGTCTCCTCAGCCAAATCCAGAGTTTTCCCTTTTCTCCCATAAGTGCAGAGAGGCTAAAATTACATCTTTCTCACTTTAGGCTTTAAAATGGAATTACTGCTGCACTTTCCCTGAAAGATCTCTATTGCTCATTTCTCCTTTATGCTGCCTGGGAAGCGCTCATTGGAGCCAGATGCAGTAAGCCCCTGACAGTCTGAGAAGAGATGAAAGAGCCTGCTGTAAGAAAGGGATGCAGGGACATGCCTGATTGGGAATCACACAATCCTTTCTTTAAAGAAAGCTTTCTGTTGTTTTAACAATGCCTTTAGGACCATTGTGCGTTTATGCAAAAAGAAAATTAAGCATATTTTTAGGAGCATTAACAATTTTCTGCATTGTAGCACTAGTCGCAATCTCCCAAATGCAGAATAATCTCATTCTCATTACTTTAATACAGTAATAAAAACGATCCTCTCTGGACTCTGGAAAGGTGATATGCTTAATTATTCATGAAAATATCAATATTCATCAATATTAAAATAATGTAGTAGTTAATATAAGTTTTCTTTATACAAAACAAAAAACAAACAAACAACATGTCTTGTTTTCAAGATGCATTGTGCATATTTTTATAATCTTTGTGAAGGGACATGCCTTAAGTCTGAAATTCAGTACTGCCTTATTTAAGGATTACAAACTGATAACATGAAAACACTTCAGCTCGCATTAACGTTTGACATGCTGTGGTTTCTCTAATACATTCCATTGCATCAATCATTCCCCAAGTGGGTGCCATCTTTCTTTCATCCCTCTCGTCCTTCACCTCTGATCTATGGAGATCTCCTCCCTCCCCCGGCATCTCGGTCTCATCACATTGGGTTGGGGCTTTAGTTCCTCTCTGTTTCGTTTCTCCATCAATCCTTTTACTCCCACTTGTCCCAGTCGCAGCGCTCACACACAGCACACCGTTTAGCTCAAAACCGAAACGTTCCTTTGAAGATCTGATGAACTTTTCAACCTGAACATTGTGTGTTTAATTGAGTTTAGGTTCTTGTTTATGAATTGCTGTAGTGGCACAAAAATAATGAGACGTTTGAGAGAGGAACGGAGATCATTTGCAAATCATTTGCAACTAGATCGGTTTATGTTAATACAGTAGACAGCCTACGTACATATGTGTTTATAGTCGCAGATGGAGTGGGCAGGGAATGGTCATGAAGGGTTGATACAAGCACTGTAAACGAAGTAACAATAAACAGCAAAATCAATACTGCAGGCTGACAGCGGTCTGGTGTTGCAAGATTGAAAAATGTTGGGGAGCAGAGCAGTGATCAATGGAGACAACCTTCAATACTTTGACATTTCACACACAGTCTCTCTTTACTGCTGCTTATTCTCCTAAGTGGATGTAGGAAAAGAGGTTTACAGTACATGTTGGTTCATTTGTGGTGCACGGTAAAGTAAGTATCATTATTCATATTTATATATGATTTTTCTTATATATAAATATATATTACATATATTTCTTAAATGCATAAATATATGTGTGTGTATTTATATATACATATAAATAGCACACAGACATATATTATGTAAACAAACT